CAGTATCTGGAATGACAAGTTCACTCCTATGGGAAGAAGGATCCAAATCCTTATCTTGCATCACGGCTACCTTGAACACTGCCCATCCGAACATCCTGCTCCCAACCCCCCCCCCCCCTTAGTAAATATTCAGCCACAAAATATCCTTTTTAATTGAAAATTCAGTTAGAAGAACTAATGATTTAGATTTTTTTCACTTTTTAAAAGTAATATTGTTTTATTAAATGAGTGCTTGCCTATTCATTTGCTTGATCTTCTCTAAATAAATAAATAAATAAGTGAAATTTAAAATTTTAAGTGTAATAAACTTCCTTTCGGTCCCTTTTTGCCAATCCAGTTTTCAGCTTAAATCAATTGTTCCAATTGTCATAAGTTGAATATTAATGATGTTGAATGTTAAGACTACTGCTGCTGAACCGTACATCCCATAACTACGAGCGCATTAGAAATTCGATAATTCAAATTGTTTCTTATTTATATCCGAAACAAAATCTTAAATATAACTTAACGCACCGTAGCACCCTATAAATTGAACGATAAATTCTCCACCATTTTCACCGATTCGCAGCCACTTTCTTAAGGTCGGAAATTTTCAGAAATTAAATTTCAGAAATGTTCATTAGAGAGATTAGAGAGTCAGTTCATTAGAATACAGGTGGATTGCTAACATCACTAACTCAGATTTTTAACGACAGATTTATAGGGCTCTACTGGAACATATCGACGAGAAATAATATAAAATAAAAAATATTACTTGCAATTTTAATACAACCATTGTTAACATGAAAATACATCAAATAAATGTCAATTTAAAAATGGTTAATATAATTAGTTGAATTAGATTAGTTAATAACAAATGAAGAATGGAATAAATCGAGTTCCTCTTTTCTTAAAATTTTCTCAATTCAAATCATTTCCCAAACATTTCTACTTGTTCATTGTTCATAAAAATATGAAAATTTTCATAATCAACTGTAAAAATTAAAAATAAAATCCGAATGTTTTATTAAACCACATTCACAAAATCATATTTAACCTATAAAATAATTATATCAGCAGAAAAACTCGATTGTAAAAAGTTAAATAAAAATTTAACACATTTATTAATGGCTTATGGATTATTTATATAATAAAACTGAAATCTATTTTAATCTATTTTCATTTATTGTAATAATTTATTACAATTTGTTTGGAAAATATAATTAAATGGACTTGAGCTTAGAAGCAAATTCTGATATTTATTCCAGGATACTTTAAAAACAGATTTCGCCAAATATAATAAAATAATCAAAGAAATTCCCACCTAAAAATTAAACAAATATCCACTTTAAATGAGAAGTCGATGTTTGGTGAAGTTTCGACTGATCAACTTAATAATGGCCCAGTAACAAAAAACGAAAATGTGGCATGGAATTAATAATTAAATTTTTAAAACAATTGCGATAATCTTATACATCATTTAGACAAAATTTAATAAATTATTCTTATAAAAAAAAAACAAAACTTATCAGAACAGATTTTAATATTTTCAAAAAACATCACTGAATTACTTCCATATTGATCACAGAAATGTTAGCTGAATGCCACGCTTCTCTTATAACAATAGTTAATTGCAATTAATGGCACCAAATACTGGACTTAAAAATTGCTCAGAAATATTGCAGATAAAAGTTACATCCCTTGGCTCGAATGGAAATAATATTGTCTTTTTCCCCGTTTCTCCAGGAGAACGAAGAGAAAGAAGAATATCAATTGACATTTTATTGAAGAAAACGATTTAAATGGAATTCAGTTAGTTTCAGGGAATTATTCCATTTGATTTTGATTTTGCAATTTTTCAAGCTCTTCTATAGCAATTTCCCAATCTTTTACTTGCAATTGTAGTTCGTTTAATATACGAATAAAATTTTGTTTAAGTTCAAGAATTTCACTGCAAAGTCTGAAAGTAGAACATTTTATTTATTGAAAATATTCGAAATATTATAATAAATAAAGCTTTAATTGAACTGAAGCAAACTGATTAACCTTTTAAATATAAAAGATTATATCAGATTATACCACAGAAGTCATTTAATGAAGTTGTCAAAAGAAAATAATTTAAAAATAGACTGAATATTGGAAAAACCAATGTTCTTACGCTGAAACATCATTAGCTGTTTCTTTCAACTCGTTTTCTGCAACTTCCAAAGCTGGCTTATGATCTGTTACAGTCGCGAGCTGTACTGAATTTAACACTACCTGAATTTTTAATTTTGTAAATTTTACATGAATCTAAAAAAATAGATTCAAATTTTGAAATTAAGTAAAAAATTTTATCAAATTTCTATTAAAAAGGTTTTCTCGATACGTTTTGAAAAGAAAAAATATTCGTATTTTCTATTCAAAGTTATTCCTTATCAATTACTCAACTTTTTACTGAATTAATTTCTGATTTAACAAGGTGAATTTCCGTCAACTAAAATTTTAAGGTATAAAACTTTGAAAGCCCGTATTAAAATAAATTACTATGACGATTTCATAAAACAACCAATAAAAGAAAATTTCAAATTTCAAAATGAATGTCGAGTGATTTTAATTAATCAATTTTGTTCATTTATTTTGATTCTGGATACTGAATTTCATATAAAAACTTCTATTTCCAATTAGTTTAGTTTAAAGTGGATGAATCTTAAAAAAAACTGGCAAGGAGATTCCCATTTAAAATAATGTTCCAAAATTAGAAAAGAAAACAAAAAATAATTTCTAAAACAAAGTGCTAACCTCAGAACCCTTTTGAAATTCGCTAATTAACCTAATAAATTCCATCATACGATCATAACCAAATTCTATCGCACGTTCTTTTTCATCGCGAGTTATACATTCATCCAACTAAAGAAATTTTTAGAAATAATCTGAGAATTGTTGAGCTTCCCTTGAGTTTTTTTAACTATAAAAATTACATAAAGCCAAATTTTCTTGCAAAATAATAAAAATAAAAAATCCCTTGAAAAAATCCCTCAATTTAATTATTTCTATAATTATTTCTATAATTATAATTTAATTATTCTATAATTATAATTATAATTATTTATTTATTATTTCTTGTTTATTGGCATTAAAACTAACCTTTTTAAATTAACAGTAGTTCAACTCCGGGAGTAATCCTCCGACGATGCTCGCTGAAAACCCGCTATACCCTCTCGAGATCTTCTCAGATACCCTCTTATCTCCCATCACATATATCCCCCACACTCTCCCATCGCAAGCCCCGCTCTATCTTACTTGGTTGAATATTAAAGTAAAATGTGACTCCCTTTTTTCTGAACTGTGGACTGAAGCTGATAAATAAAATAAATAAAAGTGAAGAAAAAGAAAACCTTATTGGAAAAATTGTAAACTTTTTGAATTTGTTTCGGAGGAATTTTCAGTATAAATCCATAACCATTATCGCTTAAACGTTTTTGTAGCGACGACAATTTTCGACTTAAATTTTGATTCGATTTGGTAATCGGTGGTAAACCAAGTCGACCTTCAACCGCCGTTAAACGTTCTACCAGTGATTCCATCCAATTTTCTAAAGTTCTTTTTAAAGAAAACTCAGTCACATTCGCGAAATCTTTCGACAGCAGAAAACAACCGAAAAAGAAATTTTAAGGTCCAAAAATACCTAAAGCTGGAGCGAGAAAACTAGCAAATATAAGTTGCACAACAGTTGTAAGCCTGAGAGGCCTCTGACGAGACAACTATAGCCCAGGTTAGTGCGAACAAGTGCGACGCAAGCAATCTTCGACCGACAGTTAATCACTCTATTTAGCAGAATATCTGCGGACAAGCGCTTTGAAATACGCCAAAATTTTTTAGCCCCAGTTGTTTTTGCAGTGATATATCAACCAAATATGCTTCTGGATTTTCAGATTTAATTAATTAAGTTAGATGGAACTAGGCGAATAAATGGATAAAAGGATAAGGAAAGGATGGAAATAAAATAACACTTATAGATGGAACCACTCCGCGATAAACCAGGTTGAAATTTATATGTACTGAATGGTGAATATTATTGCGGGCCTAGCGATCTTCTTTAACGAACAAATTTCCGTTTTTAGTGGCTGCACTGACTATTAGCGGGCCATTTGAGGATAGGAATTAGGAATTTAGATAATTTCAGGTGCGCCATCAAGTCGGACAATTTGGAGGCATCGTACAGCAGTAAACTAAGTCGACTGTTAGAGCGCTTGTCACTGATTAGTGAATACTGAAATAAATATTTACGAAATAAGGAGTTTCATCACAGTGATTGCTCAGTTCGGAGCCCGATGCTGCCCTACACGTGCAAACTTGGAAAATGCGAGTGAGGATGGCGACTTACCTGCATTTCTGTCGCCAACTCCTGGCTCCCTGGCAAAAATTGTCTGGTTCGAAAGGCTAGCAGAGTGAGCCCAGTTGAAATAATGAACGTTATCAGAAAAATAGTAAATTTAGGGAAAAAGCAAGGAATTAAGCATATACTCGAGAATGGCATTAATGAAAATAAGGAAAGAAAAGACTGACAGCAGAAGAATGCAGAACAAATGACAGGAAATATATCAACTTGTCTATTAATCATATTAGTGATAAGAATTTTGCCAAGGTCGACGAGAATAGTTTCCTTAGGACTTCTCGTTCCAAAAACTTTCGAAATGCGATTATTAAATGTCATTTATTGTCTACATGCAAGAATTTAAATTCTTAAATTTTCCTTAGGTTTCTGTGAACACTCGATAGATTATCACTATTATCATTAATTATGGCCAAAGTGCAAAAAAATTCGCTAAAACCTCAGCCAAGTAGCTATTATAAATATTATAAATCAACGCTAAATTCAGAACAGCAATACTGCTAGTTGTCAGTGAGTTATCCGATTGAATCAAATCGAATTTAAAAAAGAAAAAATCAAGAAGCCCAGAATTTGCAGCAACAATATTGCTGAGCTTGTTCAGAGAAATCGCCACAGATCAGAATACCTTGCTTATTCTCAAAGAAAGTCGTGCTAACGGTCCTTGGATTGAAGCTTTCGTCTCCTTGTGTCTCTGCGAATATTGTTTCCACTTATCTACTAACTTCTACTTTTTTTGCTAGATATTCGCCTATAAATATTCGTAAATGATAGATGACACACACTTCTGGAAAAAGCAGCTCTTGGAATGTTGCCACACTTATTAAGCTCTTTTTGCTTAATGTGTTATTATCTAAGCCAGAGAAGTATTAGAAATATCACGGTTGGCGTAAGTTATCACTCATTGATATCATATTTATCAAGCGACTTCTGCCGCTTCGCTAGTCGTAAATTAATTTCAAGTGATAATTATCAGTAAATTTGAGTGTAAAATATAAAGTAATTAATTGAATGAAAAGTTTATTTGAATTCCTAAATAAAAAGTTTAGTCGATTGAAATGCTACTAAGGAGAATTGTTCAGGTCATAAACCGGTAAAGATTCTCATTTTTTTCATTATTTTACCAGTTTTCATGTTTTTTTGTTGATTTCACTCTATCAAACACTCACAAATAGCACACTGCAATATCTCTCTGTCTCATCGTAACAACCACCGTTAATAACTTCCTATTCGCTCCATTACTTAGTCGATGTTGATAGTATGGGTAATTGAATTTGCTTATGAATATTTCTTCAATATTTGCAATGAAAACCTTCGCCATGCTTACTTTATACTTTATGTCTATCGCGCTGCAAATCATAAAATTTCGATTTGTTCATTCGAAAAGATTACATAAAGATAATTATAATTTTCTACGGTATTCTAAAGATGGAATCCTTGAAAACAAACAATTTATTCCAATATTGAGCCAAGCAAGCCAAAAAGCTTTGTGCTGGTACTGGCACAACGAACAGCGCCTTAAAAATATTAAGAGAATGTCAATAAGTTCATCTGCCATAATTTTTCTTTTGTACTACTTTCTTTCTATTCATTATTCGAGAAATATCATCAAATTCAATTTATCCGTTCTTTTCAATTTCGTTCACTCGTAAATATCTAAAAATTCAAATAAGCTTAGAAAATTCTTAAAGAAACCATTTTCGACATTTAAAGAAATCTAAATGAAATTTGAAGCCTAAATAAAGGGATTATTTTCCTAATCCTAAGTAAATCTTTGATAAATCTGCCTTATCATACTTATCAATCGAGCAAGCCAAACCAAAAACGATTATTGTTAGCCAATAATTTAATTACCTATTAAATAATAACTTGGCTCGATGAATAAACCTTAATAATCCCTTTATTTAAAGAATGCTGGACCAGACTTCTTATTCTCCTAACGGCTCTCACCTGGCACTGCTGGCTAAAGGACAAGATGTCTAAGCTGCTTGGTTCGACGCCATCGTCTATTAATAGAAAAACACTGGACCAGACGACACCACTTCTCTATATCAGCGACAATTATAATAAAAAAAGAAAACAATCATACGAATTATTTTATAGTTTTAGCTACCTTAATTTTTTAAGATGTAAATTTAACAAATGGCAACCAAGTTTTAATGGTCATCATTTCTGGTTAAGCTCGCTCTACTAGCAATGTGATGGTGCATTTTCAACGTGAAATAATTTTAAATGCAGGGTTTATTCCTATCAGCGGCAAATGATCTATAATGATTAAAATGATATCTATCAAATTTCGATTGACAAATTTTCATCTTTTTTTCCAATTTTTTTACTTCATTAAGTAATTTTTTTTTCTTTCCTAAACATCTATGATATTCTCTAATTCAATTTTTCTTAGATGATTTTTTCGTTTCGCATCGGATTTTATTAATTTCATACCGTTAAAAATATAATAATTATGCACTTAAACTTTTCCAGAGTCGGCATGGAAATTTTTGACATTATTGTGCTCACTGCGCTATTGTTTGGAATATCAATTTACGGATTATTTAAGTCCCTCAAAGGTCAACAGCAATTATCAGTGCGGGATATTTTGCACGGTTCTCGGTCGATTTTTTTTGTCTTTAGCCCATTTAAGTGAGAGGATCGTATCTAATTTCTAATTCGTGAGATAAATTTTGTCTTCGGCTATTAGAATAAGATATTTTCTCTTATCAAGTAATATTCATATTCAGAAAATTATCAAACAATCAAGTGTAAGAAATTTTTTATGGTGGGCTTCCTCCTATTAAGGAAGAGGAATGGACTGCGTGATTCAAGCATGATTCAATCTTAATAATATACCAATAGATCACTTATTCCATATCACACATAAGAGAATTTATGTCTAAAGTCTCGAAAAATTATTTCCCAAAACACCGAAATTCTGAATGAGAAAAAAAACTATAAAAATTTTAGAAATGCGTTGGTCTTTTACTGAAAGCCTCAGATCAGAAATGATTTCATTTTTTTTTTCTGTAATTATGATTTAAGAAAAAATTTATAAAAAAAGCACAATTTCAACTTTCAGAGTATCAGTACTATCTTCAGCACTTGCAGTTTGTTCGGGCATTATTTCAGCAGTGTCAATTCTCGGATTCCCTGCTGAGGTTTATTTTCGTTGCACTGTTTTTCTGCCAACAAACGAATCGGAATTTCTCAATTTTTTTCGTGAATATGTCATTTAATTCATAGTTTAATTTAATAGTTTTAATATCACCGCAGAAAATTGCCTCCGCTGGTATGCGCCATTCACCACTGGATTAGCCGAAACCAGCAGGATGAGCCTAATAGTATGAGCAAGCCGTTAGAAGACGATATTTTTTATGCTCGCTTTTTTTTTAATTCAATCTTTTCGCATATTTAGATTCTAGAAAAAAATTTTTTGCAGATATATTACCAAGGTGGAATGCCGATTTGGTTTGGATTGGCCTATTTTATTGCATTTCCCATAGTCGCATTTGTGCTTTTACCCGTGCTATACGATTTAAAATTTACGAGTATATATGAAGTCATTTAGTTTTCTAATCATTCACGTAAGATTACAAATAGTCCCCTTTATCCAACAGTACGGTGGTTTAGTGGCAGAGTGATCATCATAGAGCATCGAAAGCGGCATGGGCTCGAATCTGGCCGACGCACCATCTCGCCAAATGGTGAAAATAAATGGAAGCGGAATGGCTCAAAGAATTTTTTTGAGTTTCTCTCACTTCGAAGCAGATGTTGCGATTCTGTATCCGATAGGAGTAAGCCTATCGTTCAAAAATCTGGGTGATGTTGGCGATCATCCATATATATCGCCAAGTAATTCCGCGGCAAAATTTGTTCTGTTCGACAAGCCGGTGCAGCGAGCCTAACCAGCAAGTGAGTGTTTAAAAAGAAGGAGAAAATCCCACAGTAATATGACTGATTGACTTTTATTCCAAAAATCACCAATTACTGGGAAATGAAAATGTTCTTTTTTATTTCTTTTTCCGAAACTTAGTGCTTATTCAAATTTGCCAGAAAAGTTTTCGAGAGTTTAATATATTTTATATCTTTTTAAATAAGTTATCGTATTTATCGTATTTAATAACTAAAAACGAATTTTGAGAAATGAAGAAGAATTCTATTTATGTTAGAATAAAAGTGAGTGAAGCTTAGCTTTTAGCTGACTTTTTCAACTTTAGCCAAGACTAATGCGAAAGTTATCACTGATTGAATTTATTTGATAATAACTAATCGACAATTCTGGTGAAATTTTACTGAGATTAAGAGCATAATTACATCCTTTTTTTTGAATTCATTTCATTTTAGTATTTGGAAAAGCGATTCAGTTTTGCATGTCGTCTTCTTGCATCGCTGACCTTTTGCTTGCAGGTCTTTTCATTTTTGTCCTTCGAAAAGTGAAGTTTATTAAATTATGACGCATAAAAATTTTTATCACAGAATTCGCTTCTATTTTTCGTAAGGCCAGTTTTCTTGCGAAAATCTCGTTTTTCTTATTTTTTGTGTTATACTAAGTAAAATTTAATATTGCATAACATTTGTCGTTTAATCTCCTCGCACATTCCTATCATTCGCTTAACAAAGTTTTTTTCGCAAAATCTTCCTTTAAATGAATTCCTCTTTAAAATCCTTAAATGCTGCAACTTATTTATTACATATTTTCACGTGTTTCTTTTTTGAGATGTTCTTGTATATATCTGTAGCATTATATGCTCCAGCACTGGCGCTGTCATCAATCACGCAAATTCCATTAGCATTATCAATCTTGATAACGGCTGGTCTTTCCGCTCTCTACGTTTCATTGGTATTATAGATTATGATTTTGCAAAATTTAGAAAATTTCTTCTTTCTAAATAAAATAACTTCAGAATTCATTATAGTATGCAAAAAAATTAGAAATTTTACAGATATTTTTTGCGCAAGTGATTTAAAAGATTTTAGGGAGGCGCAAAAGCAGGAATATATACATCATCATTACAAATGGCATTAATCTTAGTATGCTTGGCATTTATATTCATTTGCAGCTTAATCAAGATCAACTTGTCGGAAATTTTTAGTCGAGCCAAATTAAATGGTCGATTGGAGTTGATGGAGTATAAAGTTTTATTGTAGTTCAATGACATATTAACTTATCTTATTCTATTTGTTTGAACTAAATCAAATCATATTCTTCTTCTTCTAACATTACTGGTTAGGTTGGCTCCACTGGTTATAACAACAAGATGTTTCCAAGTAGCGCAATCTGATGCCATCGTTGACAGGCTTTTTCCATCGCCTAAGTCCACATATTGCTGGTCCATCTCGCTTTTGACCACCCATCATAGGTTTTAGCAAGTAAAGAAATATGCATCAACTCCTGTGGTGCATGACGTAAAAGATGCCCTAACTAGGGAAGGCGAGGCCTTGTGATAATATTAATAGAGTATTTGAGAGAAGATGGGTACAACCATGTGCAATTGTATCCCTCGACGGACTCGCAAAATATATCTTAGACTTAGAGTGTTCAAAGGCTGATAGTTTCTTAATATCCTCCACTCTCACTGGCCATGTCTTGCAGCCCTATAGCAAGATTGAGCGAATTGCAGCTAGATGGACAGATTTTCATCTTTATGGTGATTTCGCGACGGTTCCATAAAGAATCAACCGGAAAAATAATTTCTAACTGTCGTTGTCCGGGTTAGAACTTCATCCTTTGCTTTGGTATTTTGGATTAGAGTGGATCTAAGATATTTATAAACTTCCTCAATCGACAGTGAGTTTATAAAAAGATCATTTTCTCAACTTCTTGTATATAAGACGAAAAGTCCCTTTTTATTTACATCGATTTTGAGTCCAATTCTCGCTGCAGTTGTTGACACATTGTTTAATTTTATTTGCATTTCCTTATAACTGTCAGCAGAAAGGACTCATTAGAGTATACAAGATCTGATACGATGCTTCGGATAATTTGTACACCTCTTAAGCGGTATCCATTATACAGTCTACCGTCCGCATAGTTGAATACTGTGGGGGAAGGACACAATCTTGACAGACAACAGTTCATATTTCGAAGGAGCCTGTCAGTTCCCCATATACGCAGATATACGCCGATGTAGCTACTCCGAGCCAGGATCAGAAATCGCTTGAGATCCGAATTGAGGAAAATCGAAGGATGGATCTCGAGAAGCAGGCGATATCAACAGGGTTTAGAAAGAGTGTGGATAGTGATCGCTTGGCTTGCAACGTCCTATGGCTAACACTTCGCCGCGCGTGCAGTTTTCCTTGATAGATTTCGAGCAATTGTCCTGGCTTGCGAACATTTTTTATTTATGAACCTTAGGATTATTTTAGACTCGGGTTGTATACTTATTGCATGAACCACCGGGCTGGGAGTATTATGCGGGACGCGAACGTCATATCGAGAAAATCTGATTCTTTCACCATAGAATCACTTGGGGATAGAGTTACAGATGAGCCACCTGGATTTTCGACATGACAGGTTTACTCCTTGCGAAGACAAGTATTATTTTGCATAGTATTATTTTATAATATTTATTTTATAAAACAGATAATTCTCTGGCTCTTATGTACATAAATGTATATAGATATTGGATACTAGAATTAAATTTGCAAAATTTGATATGCAAGAAAACAAATATCAAATGATAAATTAAAATGTCCGATAATTTTTTCATTTATTAAAATTTATTAAAATTATAAAAAAAAGAAAGGAATGCACATTTAAAAAATCAAATCACTTAAGAATAAATAATGGATTTGAGGAAATATAAACGAAAGATTTATCGTATAGTTTATTATTTCAAGTATTATAATTCAGCCTATGCAAGTGCAAATATCAGATAATCTGTGACATGCGGAACTTCGGTTTTCAAGCGATTGCTTGATGTCTCATTTTTATAACCAGTCGGAGCCCAATAAGAAATAATGAACAGCTAATACTAACCAAATAAATAAATTTATTATTCACAGATCATTCTTTTTAATTTTTAGCTTTCGAATTGATCCAAGAATCCGGCATTCAGTTTGGTCCATAGTAATTGGAGCAATTGGTACGATAATATCGTTGTTTGCTACAAATCAACTATCAGTGCAAAGATATTTGGCAATGCCATCGCTGCGACATGCACAATGGTATTCTGATTTTTCAGATCTGATAAAGAAAAGAACTATGTTTCATCATCATCTATAAGACTAAACAACCAAAAATTTCCAAAAATTACTTGATTAAGGGTCGTTTTACTTAACATCCCGATCAATTTTATGGTTCTAACATTATATACTGGTATTTCTTTAATAATATTTGCTTTCTACTATAATTGCGATCCAGGATTAATATCAAAAGATCGTGTAAGTTCAAGTTTTGTATTTTCTATCTGCAAGATGATCAAGCAAAGCAATGGCCATGTGCATGTATTTAATAATAGTACAAATGTGTCTAATAAATTGTTCTTTCTAATTTAACTGAAAAAGGAATATAATGGATACGCTCCCCATATTATGCCAAATCTGAACTTATCGCTAAAAGTGTTCTAGAGAAATACCTCGAGCTCTATCGTTAAGCAATTCTTTGCTCATTTAATAGCCAAAGCAACTCGCTATGCCTGAAATGGTATTCAATTAAAAATATGAATAAAGTTCTATCAGCATAGATAAAAATTTCTTTCTTCCTCAAATTGTTGTTCCGACTTTTTTTATTACTGCAGTAATGAAAATTATAATTGTAGCTCTTTCCATATTTCATTGTTAACCAGTTTTCTTCATTTCCGGGCCTTGTTGGATTATTTATTGCTTCGGTCTTCAGCGCTGGTATGAGGTACATTTTTTTATTTTCTTTTTCTTTCGACCTTTTCTCTTCCCCGTTTAATGTTATTTTTTTCAGTACACTATCGGCATCATATAGCGCACTTTCTGCGGTGATTATTGAGGACGTTATACGACAATATCTTTTAAAAATGCGTAATGGAACGCAATTAAATGCAAACTTGGCTGTTAAGCTGGCGAGAACTCTCCGTTAGTTTGCTTTTTTCTCGCTTCTATTCAGTTGTTTCCTGTTAACTTCTTTATTTTTATAGATGCATTTTCAGTCCAAACATTTTTCTGAAAACATATGAATAAAACTGAAAAAATCAAAAAATTTCTTTTATCTCTTTCTTTTCATAGGAATTGTGACCATTCGAATATCCATAAATGTCCCCTTTTTTTTAATGAAAACTTGCCAACGAAATATTTTTAGCAGTTGTTTTCTGCATTTTATCCATAATGCTGGCATATTTATGTAGTTTACTCAAAACAATGATGTTACAGGTAATTTCTCGTGCTTTTACCGTTGATTTTTCAAATTCGATTATTCGATTTCCAATATTCTTAATCTCTCAGCTTAGCCACCCATTCTGTAGTTTGCTAACTGGGTTACTTATTTAAAATTGACCAAAGAAATCTTTATTAAATTATTGTCTCTTCGATAATATTATTCAGACGAAAATAAGGTATTGCAGATATCTCTAACAATTTTTGGAGTGGCTAGTGGGCCTGTTCTTGCTATTTTCTGCTTGGGAATATTTTTCCCAT